GAATCCCAGGAACAGCGCCAGGCGCGCGCCGATGAAATCCTGTGTTTCCACGGCAACAGAGGAGGAGTTTGCACTTCGACCCGTGACCACATCGGCGGAAATGAGGAACTAGGAAGTCGACTTCAGGGCTGATGTGGAATACCACACACACATTTGTTTAAGATGAATTAGTGTCGCTTACAGCAACTTATTCATTTTCATTCACCACAGATACCGATTGGCATAAGCGGTCATCCCACATGCAGTGGCGACGCTAGCTTGTTCGAGAAAGATGCTTCAGAGGTAAATATCAGAGGCTTGTGCTGTATGACTACAGCAGCAGTAACTGTGGGGAATGAAGCCAGCAGTGGAGCTTCTAATTGAATTAAATAAGGGAAGACCGCGGAGTGTTTTTTTCTTCTTCATTAAATACTGGTTGAGTTTAACCCATAACCACCCTCCTGAGGTAAAAGTAAAAGTTGTAAATGTCGGTGTTTTGAGATATAAAATATTTACAGAGCAAAATAGGCCTAAATGAATTTAGATGAATAACAATAATCCTATAATAATAATATCCTAGTACAATTGTATGTCTCGTTTATAGATTGAATGTTAAATGATAAAACGGGTGTTTATTTGAATCACCAGCTTCTATAAAGTATAAGCCTCGCACTTTTTCATACATAAAAAATAATAATAGTGCGACGTTGTATTAGCTACATAGATAATATTCTTTTCTTTTCTGAATGACAGTGTTTTTTATATGTTTACCATTTTTAGTTAAACATTTTAAAATTAAATTAGGGTTATTGGAGATGGTTCATATTTTGAACAGTTTGATTACCACAATAAGTTCATGGACATTTTTGTAACATGTTTTCAAATTAAGTTACAGTCCATCCCAGTAGTGTAAGTTGTAACAACAGCAATATATGTACTTGACATTAATTTATGCAGTTTACTATTTGTGTTAAACTACTTTAATGTTCAACAAATACATATGTGAATAATATATGTAAGTTTTAGATACATATAGCAAAAAGAAAAAAAAACAGACTCCCTGGTCACCATGGTAAAATTGGTCGGAAAGAAAAAATCACTTTCCCAAAAACATAAAAAAAACTATTTAACTTTTTAAGTTTGTTGCATTGTTAAAGTCACTAGTTTTTAAGTTACAATTGTTATTTCTGTGTCATTTATAATATGAATTTAAGTTTTAATATTATTTTTCTTTTTTCTTCTTTGGTTTAGGTGACCTAAATTGGAGTGGGGTGAATGTGTGGGGTGTTTGCCGAGAGTAACTTTTGATTTTTATGTACTCTTGGTCACTCATTTCCTGTGATTAGAAGCTAAACAAAATGCCTCGGCCAAATTGACGTAAGACAAAATCCATAATTTTACACTTGAAGTCATCATGTCATTGGGCGAACAGTCACAGAAGTGGTTTCCAACTCACGTCCAAACCACTGTTCTTCAAGCCACAGACCTGCAACCAAAGGGCAAGAATGGCACCAACGATGCCTACACCATCATCCAGCTGGGCAAAGAAAAGTACTCCACATCAGTGTCGGAGAAGACCCTCAGCCCGGTGTGGAGGGAAGAGGCTTCATTTGAACTGCCAGGGCTGCTGATGGAGAGCAATCCAGAGGTGTATGAGCTGTGCCTCACAGTCATGCACAGGTCCCTGGTTGGATTGGATAAATTTCTGGGCCAAAAAATCATCAACTTAAATGAGATATTTGACAACAAGGAACGGAGGAAAACTGAGTGAGTTAAATATTTCATACATTTTTGATGCCTGATCTTTTAAAGATCTATCAAAAGTCTTGTAGAACTATACAAATGTAGCACTCTTTCAAATAAGCAGAAGTGCAACTTAAAAGAGGAACCAAACACTAAATGTCTTCTCCTCTTGTGGTGTTACAGTTAAGAAATTGTGTTTAAATTGTTTTTATGCAATCCTCAAGATTCTTTTAAATCACAGGCCTTTCTTCTCTCTCTCTCTTTTCTTTTTAACTAGAATTTTTAATTATTTAAGAGCAGACCTCAAAGTCTCGCTCTGACATATCATCCTACATAGACCCCTGTGTTTAATGCTTGTCAGCATTTTGAAGCCAAGTCAGTTAATAGTACTCAAAGTATAACATGATGGAAGGTTTTGAACGACCTGGGCTATTCTTAACTTCTGTATCTATTAGTGATGCAGTTTCATTTGAAGTAATCCTCTGACGTAACCCTGTCTTTGTTTTTAAAAACCTGTCATCTGAGTTTTAAATGTCTATGAACATGCCATTGCTGTGCATTACTATAGAAGGGTAGCCATCTCATGCAGGCCAGTTTGTTCTGGTATGAAACTCAGATAAAGGCCTTTTGACTCCATGCAGTTTGAGTCACAATCATGTGGCAGATGAACAGGTCTAGTGAGGATGATTATCATGTGTGCTATTATATTTTCCTCTCTGTTTGTCAGGCCCTGGTGACTAACAGGTGTGTTTCCTTAGAGGAAGTCTTCTGACTTCCTCTAATGTTATTGTCGGGTGTGACAGAGACTACTTTCTGTAACTAAATGTCAAGACTACTTCATAAGAGAGACAATATTTCCTGATTTCACTTTTTTGGACATGAGACTAGCATGGTTATTTGAGTATTATGAGAGAAACAAGTATGGCTAGTTGCAGTAGAAAAGGCAGTGCCAATGTCTTGCATACCTGGCATTAATGAATGCGGTAAATGACAGAAATCAATTACAGAAATGGCGTTTTTAAGAATACTGCAATTTACTTTTTATTTACATGCTTATTTACAAGTTTTACACTGGAGATCCTTTCCCAGTTTTAATGCACAATTGGTACAATATCAGTTATAGGCTGGTATTGGATGTATAGTCTATTTCATTGTCTTGTAGAACTATACAAATGTAGCACTCTTTCAAATAAGCAGAAGTGCAACTTAAAAGAGGAACCAAACACTAAATGTCTTCTCCTCTTGTGGTGTTACAGTTAAGAAATTGTGTTTAAATTGTTTTTATGCAATCCTCAAGATTCTTTTAAATCACAGGCCTTTCTTCTCTCTCTCTCTTTTCTTTTTAACTAGAATTTTTAATTATTTAAGAGCAGACCTCAAAGTCTCGCTCTGACATATCATCCTACATAGACCCCTGTGTTTAATGCTTGTCAGCATTTTGAAGCCAAGTCAGTTAATAGTACTCAAAGTATAACATGATGGAAGGTTTTGAACGACCTGGGCTATTCTTTAACTTTGTATTTTTTAGTGATGCAGTTTCATTTGAAGTAATCCTCTGACGTAACCCTGTCTTTGTTTTTAAAAACCTGTCATCTGAGTTTTAAATGTCTATGAACATGCCATTGCTGTGCATTACTATAGAAGGGTAGCCATCTCATGCAGGCCAGTTTGTTCTGGTATGAAACTCAGATAAAGGCCTTTTGACTCCATGCAGTTTGAGTCACAATCATGTGGCAGATGAACAGGTCTAGTGAGGATGATTATCATGTGTGCTATTATATTTTCCTCTCTGTTTGTCAGGCCCTGGTGACTAACAGGTGTGTTTCCTTAGAGGAAGTCTTCTGACTTCCTCTAATGTTATTGTCGGGTGTGACAGAGACTACTTTCTGTAACTAAATGTCAAGACTACTTCATAAGAGAGACAATATTTCCTGATTTCACTTTTTTGGACATGAGACTAGCATGGTTATTTGAGTATTATGAGAGAAACAAGTATGGCTAGTTGCAGTAGAAAAGGCAGTGCCAATGTCTTGCATACCTGGCATTAATGAATGCGGTAAATGACAGAAATCAATTACAGAAATGGCGTTTTTAAGAATACTGCAATTTACTTTTTATTTACATGCTTATTTACAAGTTTTACACTGGAGATCCTTTCCCAGTTTTAATGCACAATTGGTACAATATCAGTTATAGGCTGGTATTGGATGTATAGTCTATTTCATTGTGCATAATTATCGACTTATTGGTATTTAGACTATTATTATCGATGCTTCCTTACTTTTCCTCAAAGCTTCTAATCATTGGCAATATGTCACAATCAGTGCAAGCATTATTTATTCAGCAATCCTGTGATATCACACCCTTGGGGGGAAGTTATGTACTGTAACCGATTGCTAACATCACTGTTGACACTCGTGACAAATCACTCTACCGACCTCGCATCTCCTGGAAAGACTCTCAGGGTTAGCAGTCCCCATTGACTCTGTTCATGCAAGGGTTTCCTCTAACTGACGCAAGGGTACAAGAGTCCGTTTCGACATTGGAGTCGACAGGCCCTAATTATCGCACACCTGTGTTTGTTGATTGTACGGTGGTTCCCAGCGGCCCTAGCAGAGTGGGAGTATTATGGTTCCAGGCAGAGGAAGATTTATCTTGGCCTTGAGTCCCATGTGAAGAACAGAGGCTGGCTGGCTTTCCACATGCCCAGATCAGAGCTCCCTCACTGGGCCTGAGACCAGGTAAACCCTCTTCCCTCGGATCTACAAGCTCCCCAGTGTGTGGATGGTCTTGGAAAGAAACATAATCACCATTCACTAGCTGTGCCATGATGGAAGAAGAGCACTCAGCAAGATGGCAGCCTGTGACGACCCCAGAGGGAAGTGTGTTCCGTTACTGAAGGAGTGTTTACAGTAGTGTTTGCATGAAAGAACTGTGTCTAGGTCGGAAGTGTTAAACTGCATTCTAGAGGGCTGCTTTGTGAGTCTACAGAGTGTCTTTTTAATTAGTGCTGAGGTCAAGAAAGGGCCCGAGTGATGTTTTACAAAAATAATGAGTCACATTCTACAAGTCTACATACAGATAAACCAATAATTATTTTCATGTTAGGCCAGTATCAAATTTTTATATCATTCTGTCTTAATAAATTGCAAAATACTAAAATCAGTCAGTTTAAACAATGCAAGTTAGTACTACAAGTACATTTTGAGATTAGCTAAATATTATGTTTAACAGTCTTATTCAATTCTTCTTCTTATTATTTTTTTTCAACTATTCAAAGGAGCAACACAAAGTACAGAATGATTACAACTTTTCCACCTGAACATATATAACAATTTAAAATAATTGTACAGAGTAATAGTAAAATAATATGTATAAGTAGAAAAATAATGTATAAAAAGTAATAAGTATGACAATAATAATAATTATAACCATAACAATACATTTACATAATAAAATTACATAAATTTTACAGTTAATCAGCGCAGTACCTGTTATTGTTCATTATAGTTTTCACAATTGTTTTTTTTATATTTCCCGCTTTCATCTTATTTTTAAAGTTTTAGTATATATTTTGTTTTGTGTGTTTTTGTCATTTTTATTTATTTCTCTATATGGTTTTTATTAATTTTTATTTCAGTTAGATTTAGTTATTTTACTACATCGGGGGGGTGAACCTGTGCAATAAATATGCAATATTGGCTAATGACTGACATCAATGAAAGGAAATCTGTAATTAACAATATCTTTTGGAAATAGGGTTTTCCACCATACATTTGGCTATGGTGGTGTAAAATGGTATATGGCATCCGCTCACTGAACACATTGGCCCTGTATTGAATAAAAGTCTCTGTCTAGTATTTTACCTATGCCTTAAGTGTTCATGACCATCATTTCTAAATTAATGATCCTGCTCCAAGTGTCTTGAATTGCAGGAGCATCAGTATTCAGCCACTTTTGAGATTCATGTGCCTCTGCTGAAATATTGTCCATTTCATAATCTCCAAATACCGGTATGAGCATCAATGAACAAAGGCCAGATTTGTGCAAATGCCACCTCCTTTTCACACAGTTACAGCATCAATTACATTACTTCCAGCAGAAAAAAAAAAAGAGTAAGAGGTTAAATAAACAGGAGCCGGGGAATGGCCTAGATGGGGGCGTATTACTTCACATTCTTTTTGTGGCCCAAACCTTTGCAGTTACCAGGGAATTATGTTTATCCCTACTATAATATGCGTTTCAGGAAGGGGGAAGGCTTTCAAATGGACTAAACTAAATGGACTATGCTGTGGATTTGTGTGAAGTGAAATTGGGTTTCTGGCCAGACAAACACATTGCCCCCATGTCGTTTTTGTATGAATTATACATACAGAGCAAAGCCTGAAAGAGAGTCTTCCAACCAAGGGGGGTTTCACAGAAAAGGAGAAGTGAAAGAGTGTGCGGTTTTCTCCTGCTTGTTTTTATCAAGTTGTGAAAGTACACTGGAACATCTGCAAATTACTGGTGCATGTACCACCAACCTAGCTGTTTTTAATAACACCTAAGAGGCCAACCACGCTCGTGACACAACGGCCAAATATGTGTAGCTCTGTAGCAGCTGTGTTCAGAATTTAAATATGATTTGAATTTACAAACTTTTCAAACTGTTTTTTTTTTCTCAAATTACTCAAAGTACTTTTTTTTTTTCTTCCCCACTCTATCTAAATAGGTAGTCTAGTACACTTGACTAATCATGACCTTTGTGCAGAGATTTTGTTCACTGGAAAATTGGAAACTGGAAATTTCCAGTAGAAATCCAGTAAGTTAGCATCACCCCGATTCCCTCAACAAAAACAGATTTTTCCACTGACTTTTGGATTTTTACAGAAAATAAACTCTGTGAACAACAAAAGATGTGAAGAATCAATAAATAAATAAAGTTGATTGAAAAATAAGTTGTATCCCAATCCATCTAAGTGACATTTTAATTTCTTACTGTTATACCTGCCTTTCTGAATTTCTGACGTTTTATTAAATATATATATACTTCATGTCGCTCTCTTGTCAGCTGGTACACGCTAGACTCACGGCCAGGTAAGAAGAGGAAAGACCGAGGCAAGATTCAAGTTAGCATTCAGTTCGTGCGGAACAACATGACCGCCAGCATGTTCGATTTGTCTATGCGAGACAAACCCAGATCACCGTTCTCCAAGCTCAAGGAAAAGATGAAGGGTCGCAAGCACAACGGTGCCTTTTCAGACACATCTTCCGCCATCCTTCCTCGCTCAGGACAGAGCGAGACTGATTCTCTGCCAGACCAGCACCCGCACCCTCACCCTCAGGCTGCACCTGAACCCAAGCCAAAACGCTCGCTGCTCACTGGGACGCAGAAACTTTCTTCTGCTCACTCCATGTCTGATCTGATAGGAACTCACTTCAGGCCCAAACTCAACTCCATGAACTCTATTGAGGAGAAAGGTGAGGATAAACAACCACTGTAGTCCCATTTAATCACTTAGTGAGTTAAAAGCTTAGGGGTCATTACTGATGTATTTTATGCCCAAACTCGACTCCATGAACTCTATTGAGGAGAAAGGTGAGGATAAACAACCACTGTAGTCCCATTTAATGACTTAGTGAGTTAAAAGCTTAGGGGTCATTACTGATGTATTTTATTTTGTAGAATAAAATGTGAAAATATCTTGAGCTTGTGTTATCCACAGACATTATTTCAAGCAACCAAAAACCCATTGCCTTCAGGATAATGAAACGTGCTAAAATGCTAACGCGTCTCTGGGTTTCGGCCTACAAAAATGCCTCATCCCTGCAGCGCTCTATGGAGAAGCGCTAAAGAAAATGTTCCATCTTTCTCATCCACAGGGGTTGCTGCATCTCACAGACACTCTCAGAGTGATGGATATGGTTGCCCAACCAGCGACGTTCCATGTGACCCCTTTTCCGACATCGGAGACAACATGCCCCAGAAATTTGCCACTCTCCCACGCAACCGCAATCCCTTCGAGGGAGATCAGGGGATGCTGTGGGGGGCAGAGAAGAGAGAGAAGAAGGTCGGTCTTCTGGGCAGAGTGACTGGGAAGAAGGAAGGAAAGAAAACGGCCACTGGAAAGCGAACAGGAAGCTCTGGAGACCTGCGATCTCCAAACCCCTTTACCAGTGAAAGCAACCCTTTCCTCTCACACTACAGATCCAGGTATGACTAGTTTTAGCCATTTTTTGGTGCCTTTTATACGTTATAGCTACTTTAATCAAGCTTTCGTCTCACTTACTTGAGGTCAGATGCCATTAGCATTTATCAGTAATGTTAATTAGGAAAAATAAATAAGAACAAAATTAAGTTGTAATAATATGTCAAATATTTATTTCAATAAATGCTTAAGTATTATATTTATTTTAATTGTATTTAAATGCATTATGTGATGTATAATAGTATTATTCATTCAGCAATAATTGCTGAGGAACGTGTCTTCCATTAATTTTGCTTGCCATTTCCAACCTCTGCTCTTTTCTCAGTAGAGTTAGATGAGGACAGTCAAGCACTTAATGTTTATCAGAGAAAGTCTGTCATTAGGAAGACCTTATCAATGTCATTAGGCCCAATTCAGACTACAGGGTCCTGACCAAGCCACAGTAATGAGATCTGAACGAGAGATAGACCATTCAATTAACAATTTATCTGCCCGTAGCCTACCAGGCAGTTCATCCTCTCAAGTTACTCTCTCATCTTAGATCACAGGTCTTCCAAGGGTCATAGGTTAGCTAAAAAGACATTTAACAAACCTGCTTAATGTTGTCTAGTATTTAAAGATCTGTGTGATCTTTCCACCGTTATAAACATAACCAGCATCCTTGATGGATCCCATCCATTCACAATACTTTGTCATTAAAAGATTGAAACACCACTCATAACAGTACGCCCATATAAGCATCAAGTCCGTTTATTTTTTTGCAAGTTGCAGTGGTGTATAATGGCTGTGGTATGGGTGGAAGAAATGTGTCAGCCGGTTGAATTTCCAAATTTCCTGTTATGATCAAAAAGAAAATTCAACATCAGACTATCTATATTATAACAGACAAGCATTGTCAATGTAGATAACTTATTCACTTGCTATGTGTATTTTTATTAAAATGTTGTTAAAAATAATAATTTTATATTATTTTTTTAAAATGCTTTAGAATTTTTTATAATAATAATTTTATAAATATATTCATGCTACTAGATTGTCTAATAGACATTAGTACATTGAATATAATATAAACTACTGTTCAAACGTTTGGGTTCAGTCAGATTTATTTATTTTTTTTCCAGAGAGAAATGATAACAGTAAGGGTCATTTAACTGATCAAAATTGACAGTAAAGACATTAACAATGCTAAAATTCGATAGATCTACTTTAAATAAATGCTTTTTTAAGGCTTAATATACTCATCAAAGAGTCCTGTAAACATGGTTTCCACAAAAATATTAAGCAGCACAACTATTTTTAAAATAGCTAATAATAGGATATGTTTCTTGAGAACTAAATCAGCATATTAGAATGATTTTTGAAGGATCATGTGACTATAAAGACTGGAGTAATGACTGCTGAAAATTTAGTTTTGCCATTACAGGAATAAATCACATTTGAATTTTATTTAGAAATAGAAAACAGTTATTTTAAATTGTAATATTATTTCACAATATTAGAGTTTCTACTGTATTTTTTATCAAATAAATGCGGCCTTGGTGAGCAGAATAGACTTCTGTCAAAAACTTTCCACCCAAAAATTTTTCTACGCTTAAATATATACGTATACCGTCACTGTGGTATAAAATTGCTCATAATGTGATAAAAGATTTTGGTCTCACCGCCCACTTACTGAGTGCCGTAACTGGCTGTAATGCCTTTGTTGTGGTCAGTGACCAATTGTTGAGAAATGAAAAGTAGACTTGCTGTTTGCGTGTGAGGGGGTGTTGAACCATTTCCTGACCCTCAGTCAGATAACTAAAAGTCAACTCAAATGTTATATTGAACTACTGCAGGCAAGTAGCAGTTGCATTAAAGGATGTGATGTGTTTCATGATAATGCTTGTTGTTGTCGACCAAGATTTCACCAATGTTAAATCAATTTGAATGTTAAATGAAAGGGTTTCCTGTAAGATGAAAGTGCATTTTATGTATTTGTTGAAGTAACAGTTTTGTCTTTTTTCCTGTCTTGCAGTGACAACATGAGAAATCCCACTAGTACTGAGGACCTTACACAGAGATTCAAAACCTCTCCTGAAAAGAAGCACGGCATGAATAGTGCAAGAGAGCGTGTAAGTCCATTCCAAAGAAATAGTATACACTGTATGTTTTTTTAAATATTTTACACTATTGTAATAAAGCTAAATTACGTTTGACCACACTAAATATAAGAATATTATTTTACATTTCTATACATTGCTGAAAAAAGGGTCTGTTTTCACATTGGCACTGTCTAGTCTGTCCAGACACATTTCTCATAAGTTTTCAAAACTTGCCCAAAGTTTTAATTGGTCATTTATTGCAGCCCTATTATACATGGAAGCTGATCTCTGACTGAGTATCGCTTGTGGCGCTCTAGTTGGAGGGCTGTTTATCTAATTAACAGCTGAAATGGGTGGTCATCGTCTTTGATCTGCATGTAATTTGGAGTAGTGTGATGTTATTAGTGTGCTTCCATTTCGTTAGCGAGCCATCTTGGACAGTATGTTCTCTCACTCAATAATTGGAAATCTAATCATTAATAATACGCAGTTTGTCACTGGTCTAATTTTACACTATAGGTCAAACCACGGTCAGCGTTAAACATGGAAAGGGGTCCTCTCTCACTTTGTCATAATTATACTGATTGTGATCGTCATCGTGTCCAGTGTAGAGTAACACGACGGTCGCTTGCCTGCTGTGTGAGAATAGCCGCTGAAGTGATGTTGAAACTGGAGACGCGTTGCTGAAAATGGCTTTCCTCACCCATTTTTGAGGTTATGTTAACACTGCATCAGTGAAATAGTGTCTCTGGCACTCTAAGGCCTTAATTAAAGGATGGGGGGTGGGGGGAGAGTCGGCCGAGGCATTTCAAAGGACTTGGAGTTTTAGATTTTCAACGCAAAAGCCCTCATTAGTGCCCATAATGAGACAACTGAAGAATGCCAAGTGGAAGTCTTATCTCTCCCACACTCCTGATTGCCTAAATCTGCTCATCAGCTGCTTGCCAGTTCATGGTCATTTCCTGGGATATTTTCCTGCCCCCGCTAGCTTGTGCCCTGGTGGTTTTGCTATTCATGCAACATCTCTTTCTCTAAATCTTCCTTTGATTCTGTGGTAGCTGTTCTATATGGCCAGAGAGAGTTGTTTTGGCTTGCGTTGACTGTTGACCAGCATTACCAAACACTCAACTCAGCAAGCACACCTAAAAAAATTTATGAATGTTTATTGCATGCAAGTGGCATCAGCAAATCAATTTGGAAGGTGTTTTGAAATTGTGATTATTTTTTGTGGATGTATGAAGTCAGTTCCCTTCAGGTTCACTACAGGTATAGTTTATCATATTGACTAGGGAAAAAATTCCACTACCAAAAATCATAAAGCATCCAAATTAACAATAAATCATATTTTTAAACAATAGATTAATTCAGCAAATGTTTTGTTTGGAAAGTGTACATTTTCATTTAAAATAAATTCTGCTTGATTTTATATTTTGTTGTCTAATGCGATGACATTCACATGATTTACGTGTCTAAATACTTTTTAGGGCCACTGTATTTTTGCTTTTGATCTGCATGTAATTTGGAGTAGTGTGATGTTATTAGTGTGCTTCCATTTCGTTAGCGAGCCATCTTGGACAGTATGTTCTCTCACTCAATAATTGGAAATCTAATCATTAATAATACGCAGTTTGTCACTGGTCTAATTTTACACTATAGGTCAAACCACGGTCAGCGTTAAACATGGAAAGGGGTCCTCTCTCACTTTGTCATAATTATACTGATTGTGATCGTCATCGTGTCCAGTGTAGAGTAACACGACGGTCGCTTGCCTGCTGTGTGAGAATAGCCGCTGAAGTGATGTTGAAACTGGAGACGCGTTGCTGAAAATGGCTTTCCTCACCCATTTTTGAGGTTATGTTAACACTGCATCCGTGAAATAGTGTCTCTGGCACTCTAAGGCCTTAATTAAAGGATGGGGGGTGGGGGGAGAGTCGGCCGAGGCATTTCAAAGGACTTGGAGTTTTAGATTTTCAACGCAAAGGCCCTCATTAATGCCCGTAATGAGACAACTGAAGAATGCCAAGTGGAAGTCTTATCTCTCCCACACTCTTGATTGCCTAAATCTGCTCATCAGCTGCTTGCCAGTTCATGGTCATTTCCTGGGATATTTTCCTGCCCCCGCTAGCTTGTGCCCTGGTGGTTTTGCTATTCATGCAACATCTCTTTCTCTAAATCTTCCTTTGATTCTGTGGTAGCTGTTCTATATGGCCAGAGAGAGTTGTTTTGGCTTGCGTTGACTGTTGACCAGCATTACCAAACACTCAACTCAGCAAGCACACCTAAAAAAATTTATGAATGTTTATTGCATGCAAGTGGCATCAGCAAATAAATTTGGAAGGTGTTTTGAAATTGTGATTATTTTTTGTGGATGTATGAAGTCAGTTCCCTTCAGGTTCACTACAGGTGTAGTTTATCATATTGACTAGGGAAAAAATTCCACTACCAAAAATCATAAAGCATCCAAATTAACAATAAATCATATTTTTAAACAATAGATTCATTCAGCAAATGTTTTGTTTGGAAAGTGTACATTTTCATTTAAAATAAATTCTGCTTGATTTTATATTTTGTTGTCTAATGCGATGACATTCACATGATTTACGTGTCTAAATACTTTTTAGGGCCACTGTATTTTTGCTTTAGTTTCCAGAATGGCAGTTTTATGGAGTCAAATTTGCTCTGCTGTTTCCTCAGGGGAAAAAGAGAGAGAATGTTTTGTTTTCATTACCGTAATCTAAGGAGGATAATCATAATCAAAGTGTCACATGTATAAACAGCTGTCCGATATGGTGGATCAAGTTCAAACCCAGAAGCAGTTCAGACTCTGAAGCTTCAGGTTAAATGTGTTGAGGCTTGCTCCTGCCAAGTATCTTTCTTAACAAGTGCAATGTATGAATGCAGATTATTATTAATCTTCCATTTAGTATTATACATGTAAACACAGATAACTTTTATGGGGTATATATCATCACACAGGGCTGGTCCCTCAAAATATTCAGATGTCTTCACTTTTCAAAATTTGAGGATGTAAAAAGTCTTAAATATTGTTTTTGGAGGTATTAAATTTGAAAAATGGTTTTGTTTTTTTTGTTTTCGTACCGGTTGCCCAGCCCTAATAACTATTCACAGTTGAAGACTTGAAGTAATCGTACCGATGCTGTTTAAAGGTTTTTAGTCCCCAGTTAAAACCTTATTTAATGACTTATATATTTATTATTATAAAAGTATTAAGGTCTTAAATTTAATTCTTTAAACACAGAACCTTATCAGTGTAGATTTGGTGCAAGTACTTCATTTCTGGAGCTATTTGGATTGTTTGCTAATTAGATGAATTTCGGGTCTGTGTATTGTTGATGATGATTTTGGGTAGAAGTTTTATTGTAATTAATTAAGCAACAGTGATTAGACATGACTGAGTCATCCACTCATATTTTGACACCGCTGAAATGGATAAGCTCTCCAAGAGATTATATCAACGGACCGCATTTAGTGCTTGTTTTCACCTTGACAGCAGAAAGTGTGAATTTGTCAGACACTTGATAGCAGATGTGCAAATGTTTCTAAATTGCCGTTTCCTCAATATCATTGTGAAATCAGACGCAGACACTTCTCATGTCAACACATAATCGCTCTGCTTGAGAGAACTGAGGCTTGAGCGTTTAGAGCAACACTTTTAATAAAAGCTTGTTTATCAAGTAAGCTCTAAAGGCAGCATTAAATATGTTTATTTCTAAATTTTACAGTATCAAATTATAGGTCAAAAGTAGTACACAATTTATTTACTTCAGAGAGCAGTTTGAATTCCCATCATGTTATGGGCAATAAAAAAGTAGAGATTTAACAACATTTAAGAATCATATGTCATGTATTATTCCTCACATCTAGGAGCCTGAACATCTGCAGACGAATATGGCGGCCTACAACAATCTCTCCTTTGCAGAAGTTGTGCAAGAGCTCATCAAGCAGAAAGAGGTGGTGAGAAAGAAAGATGCTCATATTCGGGAGCTGGAGGACTACATTGATAACCTGCTGGTCAGGGTAATGGAAGAGACACCCAGCATCCTGAGAACACCCTATGAGCCCAAGAGAAAAGCTGGGAAGATCTCAAAGAAGTAAAGGATCTCCAAAGCATGGTATAACTGTTTTCTGGCAAAATATGAATTGCTTGCAAAAGGACAATGGAATGTCATCTCTGATAAGCCAAGTGTATTTGTTCACACACAGACAGATTTCTTGCCATAAAGTTACTCTAGGTTTGCAAGAACAACCGGATATATTGTGAAGAAAGATGGGCACTAAATGTGGAGATGCCAAACCCCCTTTTTTAGATTTTTCCATTACTTTATTTAGATTTTTTTAAAGAATCTTTTGAGCTGTTGACTAATACTTTCGAGTAAAACGTTTTTGAAAATCAGTCAGTATAACAGAATTGAGCACTTAATACTCTCACTGTGTTTTGCGATGATCACTGGGGTGGACTGTCCATATGAGGCCTTTAATTTGCTGTGACTGAATTCACACTTCAAAAGCTGTACCAGATCAATTGACCACAAATGTGTGGTGAAGCAAGGAAACACTTGGATGGCACCATGGGACATAAAGATGATTGTTTACTGCATGTTCTAGCACCGGAGCATATTGGGTTCGACAGGGTAACTCTCCTGTCACTTTTGAGTGATCAGACTCATGATATTGGCATGTGTTTGGTGCCATATTGATACGTTACAAGACGTCGGTACTGAAAACTTTTGGTACTTTTTTTCAAAGCATATGTCTATAAAAAAAAATACACTCAGAATTACACTACCAATATTTATTTTGAGCTTGACTGCAATGAGCAAATGTGTATGTGTGAATAACACTGTTCACTTTTTAAGTCTAAAAAACAATCTGCCTGTTATATACAGCGATGACAGAAGTGTAGAAATGAGCATCCAGACTCCAAAGGCTTCATTGTGAATGTCCTTCAGTTGATCTGGAATGTACTGATGCTGAATTTCTTTAGTGTACCGCAGGACTGTCAAAATGTGTGGGCTGCCTACAGTTGACTACACCAAAGGTTTGTTGATTAAACTTAAGCTAGCCGGTCAGTCAATCAAGCACATAAGTATTATATAGCCCCTTTTTAATTTCTAATTTTACCAGAGCAAGTCTAGCCCATGCGTATTTAAAACCATAGCAAATAACTGATTAATTTGGCACGTCTGGATGCCTCACAATGGAAACATTTCAGTCGGTTTGATTCATTACAATGTATAGCATGTTTTGTGATGAGCGATGTAGACAAAAACTAGCTGAAGAACAATTGTTTACAGATTGCTTTATAGATTCAAGGCAGTACTCTTTGACATTGTACTGCTTTCCCAATACTTTTCTTGTAGGACACTTCTTATAGTGTTGATTTTTTCTAGTGAGAAAATTACATTGGCTATCATTCTTGGTAACGCAGCATATATTTTGCACCCTGGGCTGTTACACTGGAGCGTCTGTGTAGTGAAATACTGTACAGCAGTGGTACATGTGTGCCCCGCATACTTAAAAATGTACATTTGAGAAAACTAGAACGATTGTAGTCTGTAAAATGACCCATTTTAATATGTTAGCCCTTCATGTGACGAACGAAACAATTCTTTAGGCCATAATATCCCTTTTTGATATTTTTAAGACACAATGAGTATATAAGTTCTCATTAATTTGGCACGTCTGGATGCCTCACAATGGAAACATTTCAGTCGGTTTGATTCATTACAATGTATAGCATGTTTCGTGATGAGCGATGTAGACAAAAACTAGCTGAAGAACAATTGTTTACAGATTGCTTTATAGATTCAAGGCAGTACTCTTTGACATTGTACTGCTTTCCCAATACTTTTCTTGTAGGACACTTCTTATAGTGTTGATTTTTTCTAGTGAGAAAATTACATTGGCTATCATTCTTGGTAACGCAGCATATATTTTGCACCCTGGGCTGTTACACTGGAGCGTCTGTGTAGTGAAATACTGTACAGCAGTGGTACATGTGTGCCCCGCATACTTAAAAATGTACATTTGAGAAAACTAGAACGATTGTAGTCTGTAAAATGACCCATTTTAATATGTTAGCCCTTCATGTGACGAACGAAACAATTCTTTAGGCCATAATATCCCTTTTTGATATTTTTAAGACACAATGAGTATATAAGTTCTCTGTGTATATAGCTCTGCAGCAAGCTTCCCAGAAGTAGTTTTTCTTAACAACATGGTTAAAACGTTGTGCTGGAAAGGAAGTCTCGTCTTTTATAATATTCAGTCACAATGAGCAAGTGATGTATTCTAGCTGTATTGTTAGAATTATTGTAATTATTATTGTTTTGTTCATTTAAAGTTTTATTTACTTACATTTTATGTATTTGGAGAGGTTTACATGTGTGTAATTGGTTATTCATGTTAAAATCATTCAGTGCCACGTGCAGTGTTACACAGTGCTGACATTAGTTAAACGCTCTAGTTTAATGTCAGTTTTCTAAAAGTGAGGCCATTTTGAGGACATTTTGTGTGAGCAGACGGAAGCTAGTTTTTCCATTTGTTTATCCTTTGTATATGGATAAACGTGTTAAAGCTTATATTTACAAATCATTTACAAATGTTGTATGCCAGCCTCACGTTATTTAAACCAGGAGCATGTTATTTATTAATGATTTTCTTTTTTGTTCTGCATTGTTTGTCACTAGTCAAAAATGTTTCATTGAGTGAATTCAATTCAGAAAATTTATACGATGAAGAGTAAAGTTAGCTATAGTACATATAGCTAGCAAGTTTTTTTTCTCTCTCTCTATTTTTCATATCAGGACTTTGTGTCTTTTTTATCTTTTTCTTCAAGAGCTTTCTATCAAATAAGGTTCAAAATTGCTTAAGAGTTGCTGTAGATCTTATTGTCGGATGGATAAGAAGTGTTGACTCGCATTGATCATATTCAGCTGAGCACTTTGCTTCTCTTGGCTGTTGTGTCTCATTGAACTGGAACTGCTATGCATCTCTCTCAAGAGCAATTCTGTGTGGTATGCTGAATGTATTTTGACCAATCAGCAATGTCTGTAATCACAAACACAGTGTTGATTATCCTGTGTAGATATTACCTAGCACTAAAGTTATGTTGATACATTGTTTGCTTCACTAATATTCACAGTATAATGATCGTCATGGTTTTAAGTTGATTATCAAGAAGACATATCATTTTTAATGTGTAGGCTTTTTTATATCCATTGGTTTATTAATGGTCCCAGTGTTTAGACTACCTATTATTTTTGCATTTTCTTTCCTTTTGCTACTTGCTTGGCTGTTGCTCTTTGATTTTCAACATTTTAATGTTGTATATTTAGAGGTTTATAGCTATTTAATTCTAAATATGTTACAGTGATCATATTTGTTTGTATGCTGCTATTTTCCTGCTATTTCCCCAGCAGATGGTTTAGATAAATTCACATAGCAAAAAATCACAATGGGAAAAAAATGGGTTTTTCCTCCATAAAGGATAGTAGCAGGGCAAAATTAAAAAGAAAACGTATGAAAGCCACAGTATCAACACAAAGTTAAGTTCGAAAATAATAATTAAATATCTTTTTTTTTTCGTTAGGTGTCTTCTATACATTAATCTCTGGTGCTGCAAAATCATGTCATATATATATATACATATATATATATATGTTTGTACCAGTTTTTCAGTATTCTGTATCATATGGGTTTTATACTCAGACAGTCCTTCCATTAAAATACTTCTTCCTCTATTTCCTCCAAAAACTTGAATTTCCAATAGTGTGTAAATAACACTACTTAGAATATAGAATTTTACCCTCAGAATTTGATTACGGTATTAGAAAAATCATAGTTATGATGAGGACTTTTCTCAACGTGACACTTTCCTATAGGGTGGTTAAATATTTTGCGTAGATGTAGTTATTGATGATTCATCCGGAAGTAATACATCTGTCTTTGCATTCTTGGCATGCGGCATGAATGAGTGTAGAAGAGAGATCTGAGTGTGTTTGTCTATGTAACTACCATATAAAAGGGTGAGAATGACGGTACAACCCATTTCAATAAATCTCCTGTACTTCATTACTTGTGTCTGGTATTGCTTTCATATACTGTACATGTAAATGTAAGACAAAAGGCTTTTAGAGCAAAATATTTTCATGTTCCAAGCTGGGAGAACTCAAATGTTATTTGACAATTGCTCTTCATCTCAAAAGCATCAGAATCAGTTTCCACATCAATACGTTAATTTCATCAAAATTCATTAGACCCTGCAATTATCTCCCCAAGCTTTAGGATTTTAGCTTTGTATTTGCATTACACTGCGAACCTCACGGATGTTGTTTCTTCCAGGGAAATTAATGGGAAGGAAATTCTCATGCCCACCCAAACAAATAAAATAGCCTCTTGAACGACAAGGTAGCTTGTTAAACTTCTCACCTCATTTGTTTGAGTAACAGGAGTGTGTGTGTGTGTGTGTGTGCGCGCGAACTGCTGCATGTACAAGTGCCACTCAAGCTGTTTACCATCTCCTCCTTCTGAGGAGCAGTATCATTGCTCTTCATTCACAAGACCGGCCCCTTCACAATCCACACAGAGATACTTTCTCATTGCAACATTTGGATGAAAATGGAGCTTTTCAGATGCAATGATATGTAGATTCACGGAATTCCCTATTGAAACAGGACACTTCTCAAAGCAAGGATTTCCAGTAGTTTCTTCAATAAGACACAGTCTGTCTAAGGAAGCTTGAGACAATGTGCCGTGCAAGACGGGTGCTCTCTTTCTACTAGAGGGTGCTTAAAAGTATTCTGAGTTTTTTAGCTGTTTTATTTTTAAAGGTGTATGGGAAACCATTAAAGTAGTTAATAAGGCCAAAATAAAATACAAATCATTACAAATACATTTGTTCTTTCATTTAAGTTATTTTTTTAATGTAATGACCTGTTTAAACAGGTTAAAAGAGGTTAAAAAGTATTGTACAGCTAAAATATAACATACGCCATCTTTAAATGTGTGAAATTTTCCATGACTGTAGTAATAGATAGTCAGTCATTTGTGGGGTCTTGCTTTATAAGTGAAATATAAAGCAAGATATGGAAGATTCTCCATTCTCCATTTCCATTGTTGCTTAATTTCCTCATTTTGTCCTTTTCTATGGGCAAACTTGGTTTCATTTTACTTCAGTGTCTTAAAGCAGAGCCTGAATGTCAATAAATACTCACTGACAGATTTTATTAATACTGTTTATAAATTTTTTATTTTATTATGAAACAAGTGATGCTAGACAAAATTTGTTAAGCCTTTTTACATGCATATGAATTAATTTAGCATTCAGCCAATGCGACATCTGAGAAAAGTACATACATATATTCACATATATTCTTTGCAACTAAAAAAATATAATTTTTAATCTTAATAATATATATATATATATATATATATATATATATATATATAAATTAGGATAAAAGTTGACATTTCTATTGTTTAAATATTATTTATTTGTATCTTATACTGTATTGTATGTATACATCCAAACAATTTAATTATATTTAAATATGTTTAAGTGTGAATTAAGTGTCCAAATACTTTCTAGGGTCACTGTAAATGTTCCACTTTGTTCCACTCCTGTTAATGATTATGCAGCATTAGACAGAGAGGGTGGAAGGTGTAATGTTTAATGAGGTGCACTGTGCATCATTTTAGACTGGTAATACATTAATTAGCCTTTTTGAAGGACATCTAAAAGCCAGTACTTACATTCATTACAGTGTAATGTTTTCAAGTGCATATTGTATTTTGATATTGGCCCACAATATGTGACATAATCCTAAAAAATAAATGAGGAGCACCTTTTTTTGCTCGCTTTTCATGAATTAGCAGTGACTGACGCTGTAAATGTTCTGGTGTAGGTTTACGTCTCATTTTCATCTGCTCTAATTGGAGCAATAACTTTAACACATTCATTGTGAGATACTGTTTCGTTTTGTCTAGTGTCCAGTGGATGTGGCACGCGTCACGTCCCTTCCGCTGGACTTTATATGATACATGATAGCGCCTGCGTTTGATCGTAAATTACAGGATGGGCAGTCGTGGTTCGAGCCCACCGGATGGCACGTGTGTTTACAGGGACAAGTGTGCAGGTGAAGGCCACCCACAGTTCATCTGTGCTGCTGTTAAAAATGGATGGGCGTCATGGCACAGAGATCGGTGACACCCGGCACGCGTCCATTCAGAGAAAAACACCCCAAGCAATCTGTGACAAGATGTTCGACAAGTGAAATTCAACACATGGATGAGCTATTCAGATATGACAGGCATTGGTGGCTGTCTGCCCCTCCTTATGGCCCCAGCTCTGGCTGAACCTGACCTAACATAAGCCAGATGTCAAGGTTAGCATCCACTGGGGCTTCCACCCTGCTCTGAAGCTTTAGCAGAGAACAGTAAATTAATCTGGAAAAGCACTTGGTTTATAGGGGAAACCTGCATGCAGCTAGGTGTCAAATGAGCCTCTCAGCGCGAGGATGGGCCCCCATCAGGCCCTATTGTGTGCACCATTGTGTGCTTGATTGGTGCCACGCGTCCTGGATCAGGTGAACAAAGGCCAGATGACACCCTGAGGTGCAAGACGAGGGGAAATCAGACACATGAACAGGGC